TCCTGGTGCCTCACGATGCCAGCTCCAGGGCCAGGATTCAAGGTCTTGAGGCTCTGTTCCTCACTAGCTGTGTGACCTTGGGGAAGTTACTTCACCTCTTTAGGCTGCCATGTTCCTTTCTGTGAGAAGGGAACTGTAAAAGTAGTAAGCACTTCATAGGATTATTGTGAAGACTTTGTGGATAGAAAGCTTTCTAGAGGTAAAAAGCTCTTTGAACAATGCCTGGCTGCACAGGAAGCACTCATAAATACTAGCTGTGAATACAAGTTGTGGCCCTGGGCCCCATCTCATCTTCTTCAGTGATGAGGAAGGAGCTAAGGGTTACAACCATGAGTGGTAACCATGAGTTACAAGGTTGTAATCAACCATGAGTTGATGATTTTATTTATCACGATGGCAGCCCTTGAGGGGATGCTGTCATGTCCATGTTCCAATCAGGGTTCTGAGTCTGGTCACATGACTAGTGGCAGAGGTTCAGGCGGGCATGCCTGCTTCACTGTTCCCCCACCTCTGCACCAAAAGCAGACACCTCAAGGGCAGCCCAGGCAAGAAAATGGAGCTCCTGACCTTGACAGTGGGGGTAGGGGAGTGGGTGCTTGTGGCTGCTCTAGGTTGGAGGTCACGGCACTGAGTCACCCCACACTCCCAGCAGGGACCACTGGATTATGCGAGTTGATCATCTGGTCTTCTGTGGACTGCTGTGAAGCCCTATTCCCAGGACACACTCCCCAAGGCAAGGCGTCAATAGCTGGGTCTGGGACTGGAGGCATGGGGGGCGTATTCCACCCCATTCAGGGCCTGCACCCACCCTCATTCCAGCATTTCCATCCTTGGGGACCCTGTCTGGAGCTCCAGTCTTTCAGCCACTGCCATAATCTCACCTCTAATCACTTTTGGCCTCTGTAACCACCTATAAATATGAGGCCATTTACCTGACAGGTGTTATTTTTAGGGGTGAGTGAATCTGCCTGGGGGTTCATTGATACTTTAGCCTGGAAGTTTCAACCAGTCCCTCTCCTAGGAGGTCTTCTCAGTGCCTGAAGAATGAGTCGCAGATAGTGGGAGGGAGGGACAGTGACACCAGTCTTCTCATCTATAAAATGGGCTCATGAGAGCGCCAATCCCTTGGGAAGCTGGGAGGATCAAGAGCCTGCATTTTGCTACCCGAGCAGTGATAGCCCTGTTACCACTGTTTTTATTACTAGGGACGGGGAGTCTGCCTGGGATCCTGCAACATTCCCCTTGAAGGTGGTGGCTGAGCACTTCCCCTGCTCCCCTGGGCCCACAAAGTAGATTTGGCCACTTTTGGTCCCTTCTCTCCCCCTGCACACTGCTGTCGGCTCTAGGTGTCATCTGATTTTCTCCATTTGGGACATTCCAGTGTCTTTCTTCATAGCAAGCAAGTCGAGTAGCAGGCAGCTGGAGTGCTCATTAAAGGTCCCAGACCTGAGCGAGGCACTGGTGGGGGAGGGGTGCCGAGGCCCGGAAACCGCACTCCGGCTTCCCCACCCCTTCCGGCTGCTGACCCACCTGACCAGTGTCACTGCCTCAGCCTGTCCTCCCTCCCTCTTCCTCCTGCCGGGCACACAGGCAGTCTCTGTCCCCAGCTTGTTTCGAGCACCCCTGCCTTCCTGGTGCCTACCCTTCGCCCAACATCCAGGCATGGTCCAGGCTCACTTGCCACAGTGCCTAGAGCCCCATAAAGGCTCACTGGTCCTGACCTTGGCCTTTGGTGGTGGCACTTCTCAGTGCCATCTCCAAGGGTCTCAGAGGGGGGACTCAGTGCAGTTTATAGGGCTCCCCTGAGGCTACATGGCTGGCACAGCTGATAGAATCCTGGGTTTGGCCCCCTGAGCTCACCAGCCGCCTACGTGCGCCGTGTGAGAGGGGGCCCTCTGCATGACTGTAACTGAAAACAAAGCCATGTGGCCTCTCTCCTCCACCTGTCCCTCTCCTCACCTGCTCCTGGCCCCTGCCCCCAGGCCTTGCCTCACCCCTTATTCTCCTCAGTCTTTGCTCAGATCTGAGGACACTCCTGGGAATGGAGAGGCCAAGGGTGGGTTCCCTCAAGTGGCTTCGGGGACACCTCTGCAGGGCTAGAAGCTACCCCTAGGACAGTGCCATGGGGAGGACTTCCTGCAGCACCACCACCCTGCCCAGTGTGGCAGGCACTAGCTTTCCTGGCTGCGGAGCCCTGGAGGTGGGGCTTGTATGACCCAGCAACTCAAATTTAAATCTTAGTTAATTTCATTAATGCACATATAAGAAGTCACGTGTGGCTGGTGGCTACTCCATGGGATGCATGTGACCCTAGAGTGTCCTCTGGGAGCCCCAGGACCATAGGCCCTGTGCCAGGCCTCTGCCAACCAGACGGCCCCTCAGTGCCTTTGACCCCAATGCCTTTCCCTGCCAACCTCAGGTCCCTAGACTATGGCCACCATGTCCAGTCACCTTCTCTGCCCGTGTCTGCCCCAGTCCTGGTCATGGCCCCTAGGCTTGCAGCAGTTTGGCCTTGCTGATTTGCCCACCTTAAACTCTCATTCTGGGAACACAAATGCCCGCCTCAGAGCCCTTCAGTGGTTCCCTATTACCCTCATGTAGATCTCACTGTCACTAAGCCCCTCTCCAGCTGAGCTGCTCCTTTCTCTCCAGCCACAGCTTCCACCTCCTTCTCTCCCACCTCCCAAAGCCTTGGACTTCCTTGAGCCCAAGGCAAAGCACTCCCCCTGGCTCCAGCCTCCAAAAGCTGTTCCTTTGGCCCTTAGCACAAAGCCCCACACTCATGCTCTTTGCCCAGCAAACTCCTACTTCCTTTTCAACTGCTCACCTAAAGATTACTTCCCAGGAAGACCACCACGACTGCCACTGCCAATAGGCTGCACTGCATACACTTACCCCGCCCCCTTCCATGATCGCCATTTCCCATACAACGTGGTCACTGCCCATTGTCTTTTTGGGTCCCACTTGCCATTATGTGTAGAGGACAGAAGTATGTCTCCCACGACATCTAACCCATAGCTGGCCCTCAGTAAACACTGGAGGACAGAGCACTGTCTACAGTGTCTGCAAACTTAGGTTCTGGTCTCAGATCTCATCATGTGACCTAGAGCAACCTATTGCCCTTCTCCGGGCCTCAGACTTCCCATTTAAAATGGGGGTCACTTCAGATGATCTTTGAGGGTGATTTTAGCTCTGGCAGATGAGGAGCCCATCTGACTGCCCATCAGTCTGCAGGGCAAACATGGGGTATGGGTGGGGTGCTGTGGGGTGTGGGTGAAGTAGCCCCACACCAAGAGCAGGAAGCGCAGTGAGGCTGCGTCTTGAACAGAGAATCAGGAAGCGGGGGTCGGGGGTGGTGGTGAGCAGGGCTCACCTTGACCTCCATAAGAGGGCGGCAAGAGTTTAAGCTCCAGAGTCAGATGCTGGTCTGGGCACAGCCAGGGCCCCGGAGGTCCAGGAGGCACCCAAACCCCCTTCTCTGCTGGCCAATCCCTGCAAACATGGGGTATGGGTGGGGTGCTGTGGGGTGTGGGTGAAGGTTCTGCATACCCTGCCAGCCAGCAAGGCCACCCACTCCTCCTACTGCACCCAGGCTTGCCACAGGCCCAGGGGACCAGCTGGGATGGATTCCCTGGGGGCTGGCAGGAGTGGGGATGAAGTGACTGGTGGCAGCCGTGGGGCACTAGTAACAGCCTGGTGCCCTGGCCTGTGGGTGTTCCTTCCTTCCCTGACCATCCTGGGGAATGGGAAAGCACAAGAGGCCCTGGAGAGAGGCCTGGCTGTAGGAAACCAGTGTGTCCTGCCAGAATGCCCACAGCACCTACCAGTTAGAGCTTGCCATCACCACCAGCATGCTGCAAACTCAGAGAGGTTAGCATAGTAGCCCCAAGTTGCACAGCTTCCAAGTAGCAGTGGGGATAAAAATCCAGGTAGCTGCAGGCATTGCCCTGCTCTTCACAGCTCCACCCTACCTCCTGCTACATCAGAGACCCTTCCCAAGCCTCCCCACGGGAACGTTCCAGTCCAGCTGCTCCAGCAGGACACCCAGACTGCAGCCTCCCCCCACCCCATTCTGCTCCACTGGGCCTGGGTCCTCTGTGCCCCTGACTCCCCGCCTGTCCCCAGGCCTCACGTTCTCAAGCCTTGGCTCTGATGGTGCCCCAGCCTTGGCTCTGGTGGTGCAGGGAGACCGGAGGCTCTCCTTCCCAGAGGGTGGTCCCTTTTCCTGAAGCCTCAAGATCGCCCGGGCTAAGGCACACATTGGCAGCTTCTAGCCCACTTAGGATCAAAGGAAGCTCAGCATCTTTCTCCCAGAAAGTGTTGCGGGCCCTTCCAGAGGCGCCTGAGTAGAAGATCCCCTTTAGGAACAGGAAAGTATGGGCTCACTTGTGCCCCAGGACAGCAGGGCCAGGCGACCCACATTTGGGCCCTGGCCGCCTGGGGCAGCAGCAAGGACCAAGACACCACTTCCAGAAAAGACTGTGCCCTCTGCCCCACGCCAGCACACTTGGCCGACTGCCTCCTCTTCCTCTTCGGATGTCGCCCTAACAGGCCGGTACCGATTCTCGTGGGGGTGGGGCTTGGGGTTCCGCACGCTGCAGCCGGGGCGCAGGGCTGGCTGCCAGCCGCGTGGGCGCGGGGCGGCTCACACCACCCCCACTAGGCCCCAGGGAGGAAGAGCAGCCTGCCTGCCTCCGCGCGGCTCCGCCCGCCCTGCCTTCCTCCACCTGCCCAGCGCGCCTAGGGCGCTCCCAGAGCGGGGTATCGGAGTCGCCTGCTAGGGCGGGAACCCGGGTCACGCTCCTGCCGCCCAGCTGCTCCGGGTCCCTGGCCGGGCGGCGTCTGTCTGTGGCCCAAGTCCTCCCACAGACAATTGGTGCGAGCCCGGGGGGCACGGCTCGGGGCGGAGAGCGAGCGCCCTTGGGCACTGGCCGGTGGAGTCTGGAGGCTGCGCGAGGGGGCGCCGCGGGGAGGGATAAAAGCCAACAAAGAGCACAGACCTCGTCCAGCAGTTGGTTGACTCGTCCCAAAATAGCCGTCTCCATTTGCTGCTCCCCGCGCTCTGCTTCCAGGCGCACTACCCGGGCCTGCAGCTCCGCAGTCCGAAAGTGGGCGAGCAGGCTGAGCGCGAGCGAGCACAGCGCCAGCGCCAGCAGCCCGCACGCCCCTGGGCTAGGCAGCCGCGCGCAGTGCTCCGCCTGCGCCACCGTACCGGGCGCGCCTAGCTCCCCCGGGCAGCGGACGCCAGCGGCTTCAGCTTTGCGGGCGCGCTCCGCCACCATCCCCTCGGGTCTTGAGAATCAATAAATAAATAAATAGAATAAATAAAAGCCAAAGCCGCTACCAAAAGGAGCAATCCAAACTGCGGAGTTAGGGGAAAGGACTTGTGTTGCTGGCAAACGTCCCTTTCCTTTGCTCCGTGCAAAGAGGACCGGAAAAATTAGCAGTAGGTGAGGGAAAGCCCAAAGTCACGACCAGCGGAAATCAGAGTACAACGAAGTGAGCAAAAAGTTATTTCGAAGAACGTTACAAGTCCAGGAAAGTTGGGGGCATCTGGCCAGCTCTCCGCGCGCCTTTCCCTTCCAGCGCGTGCCGGGTCCCCGCGTTGGTGCCGCGCAGTCGGTGCCGCTGGGTGTCTCGAGTCCCCCGGGCCAGCCAGTTTCAGTCCCCGGGCGCAGGGGCGCGCGCGGAGTGCCCCACTGGTAGAGGTGGGTCGCGGCCGCCGCCGAGGAGCGCTGGGGCCGATTCCGGCGCCTCTGTAACTTGACACACTCCCTGCGGCCGCACGGATCGGATGAGCAATCCGTGCTACTTCCCAAACTAATCTCTCCCGCCCCCTCCCTTCTCCTCCTCCTCACTCCTCCTCCACCTCCTGCGGGGCAGGCGGCCTGGATTTGTTTATTTATGCAAACTCGCCCGGGGTGGGGGGCGTGGTGTGCGGGGCCCACTGCACCCGCCTGCGGGCCCGGGAGCCCCTCTCCCGCGCTCCCTGTCCTCTTTGAAGTGACACTTGGGGTTATTTATAGACAGGAGGGTGTGTGGATTGGAGCTGGGGCTGCACTGCTCTCCCTTCTCCAGATTCCCCCCGGGAGTCCGTTAACCTGCTGCCACAGTCGCAGGATCCTGCGCCTCGGCCCTCTACCTTCCTAGAAGTGAGCAAAGCCGGCCTCTGGGACGCTCCGGACACCTGGCTGAGTCATCGGCAGGGCTTCCAAATGGACCTCGGGTCCCAGGCAGCACTATCGGAACCTCTCTCCCATTCTGGCTTCCCCCACTGCTAACCCCACTTTGGTCTCTATACCCCGAGTTCTGTAGCTCCTCCGTCGCCCCGTGGAGGAGAATTTATCCGGGGTCTACATCTAGACTCTGGGGCGAAAAGGCAGCCCTCCAAAGGCCAGCAGCCCTGCCATCCTTTTCTTTCCTTTAAGACTGAGATCTCACAAGAGACAGGAGAAGGGGAGCCGGGGGTCACACCTTGATCGCTTCCCTTCCTGCTTACAGAGATCTAAGGGCATTAGCATTCGCCCCTGTGCTGCTCCTGGACCAGCCTGCCCATTCATCTCCGCTAGCGAAGGTGAGCAGTTGTTACACTCGGCCTCCATCCCCGCAGGAGTCCCGCCTGCCCATACCCTTTCCCTCCTGCTGCCATTTCCTATTCCCATACCCACTCCCCCAGAGAAAAGCTGAGGGCCGTTTTGCATTTGTAGTTTCCTCTCTTCCTTTGTCACCTCCAGCCACTCTAAGTAAGATTTGTGTGCCAGGAGACTTTATCTCCTTGTGTCTCTGGACATTCCTGCGAATGAGGTGGTGAGATTGGGTTTTTGGAGAAAGCCAGAGCCAGGCAGGGGAGAGAAGCCTGGCCCTTGAATGTGAAAAGGAGGTGGGAGCAACTCTTCATATTAACAGGGGGTGTTGTTACAAACTGCACCATGCACTTGTGGACGGGAGGGAGTTTATGAGTAAAATAGTATCACAGCACATCTAGTAGAAGTGGCACGTGTAAGAGTGCCTTCAACTTGTGACATAGTAATTATGTCATAAGTAATAAACGTTGTCACATTGCTGCCATGGAGGAGTATAGGAAGAGAAGGGGAGCAGAAAGGCCTGGGTGGCCAGGAGCTCTGGATTCCAGTCTTAGCTCTGGGATTTCCTTAATGTGCCTCACTGAATAAGTGCACCTTTGTTTCTATGTCCCTGCCCCGGGATATCCTGTGCAGAGTACCAACCCTTGAGAACACAGGTATGAAAGACCACTAGGGGGCACTGGAGAGTTTCTCAGCTGGGTGGTGCAGACCAGGAAATTTGTGATTTGGGGCTTCCCCACTCCCTTCCAGGCAGGTATAGAGGAATTGTACTGGAAATTAATTTCAATCCTTGCTTATTCAGCAAGCTGGTCTTTTCCCTCTCAGGTTGCCAGGGGCCCTTAAATGCTAAGGCAGGGAAACCTAAACAGTATGGGGCTATGGCAGTTTTGTGACTGGGAGGTGAGAGGAGGGGGCCGTGCATTATGGACCCCAACACTGCAAACATGTCCCAGCCACACAGCTTCCTGGGACTGCTGAAGTCAGAGAAACGCAGGCATAGATCATATTCCATTATGCTGGAGTCTGTCTCTGGGCCTCAGTTTTTTCATTTTATAAAATGGGCTTATACTAAAAGTGTCTAGCAATACGGGAGGACTTTTTTTTTGGTCTTTTTGAGGCAAGGTCTCGCTATGCAGTTCAGGCTGGCCTTGAGCTCGCTTTGTAGCCCAGGCTGGTCTCGAACTCGCAACGATCCTCCTGCCTCAACCTCCCGAGTGCTGGGATTGCACCACGCCCGGTCCGGAAGGGAGGACTTAATAAGGAAATCCATATAAATCACAGTGCCTGGCACATAATAGGCACTCAATAAATGATATCACTGCTAATTCCAGGTAGGACACAGCTACCTCTGGGCTCCCAGGTTTGAAATGGGGCAAAAACTGTATCCCACAAAGAAACAAACAAGTGGCAGATAGCCTCTGTTTTCCCACAGCTGATGGTTGGATAACAGCTCAAGACAAACAAGACTTCCTGTGACATGAGGGGCCATGGACGTCCCTTTCCTTCTCTGGCATTATTTGAAATTCTGACCCCAGAGACTTTCTCCGATTAAACACTGACTTTCCCAGATAAATGTTGCAGCAAACTGGGCTTTTCTTAAACCCCTCTTTCTTCAGAGCTGGGGATCCCACCCCAGAGGCTTAGAGATGAAATGACCTTGTCTTCTAAAAATTCAGGCCACATTGCCATGCAATGACCACACGAGGCCAAGCAGTGAAAGTCCACGAGATTGTGCCAGGCCATGAGAGAAAGGGTCTCCAGGAGTCCCCAGAAAGAAGGACAGAATCTAGGAAGAGTCCCCAGGAAACAGAATTTCTGATGTGCAGCAAGAAGGTAGAGGCCTTCACTGCCAACTTTGGTCTGCAGTCGCAGTTATATTCTAGATGAAAACGGTCACTTTGGGAACCAGGATGGACCGCTAAGAGACCATGCCCCTGTGCATAAATATGGACAGTTCTTTGGGAATTTTCTGTGTTTTTTTCCCTCCACACATTTGCTCCTGTCTGCCAGGCAGGTCGTCTTCATCCTCCTGTCCTCTGCCCCATAAAATCCTGCCTTTTGCTCTGAACACAGTTTTACTGAATGAACTCCACTTCTCTTGCTCTCACCATGGTTTTACATCACCTTCTTTCTTCCCAAAGCCTGCGTTATCTGACTGCTGAGCGTCTACTGTCCAGTTCTTCCTGGACACTCCTCTGCCCCCACTCCCTGTGTCAGAGGTGGTGGTCAGACTCCTGGGGACTTCAGGCCCTCTGCTGGGTTGTGCTGTCCACAGCTCTCACCTGGCTGCACAGCAGAACCACCCATGGAGGCCACAGGAAAACAGGTGTTGGTTGTTTTACCTGACTTAACCCTATTCCCCATTCTCCTGGCAACTGTGGCTCAGCTTCCTTTGGGGACCCGTCTTCCTCTCTGTCCATGTGGCTCTGGCAGGGTTAATACCAATGTGGCCCTGGGACATATGAACTAACCTAACCAGTGAATTTCTTTTTCAGACATGAGGAGCGGCCCAGTTCAGGCAATGAGAACCAGGCTGCACCGACTGGGAAGGGACGGCTACTTTACTGGGAAGGGCTAGCAGGGTGTCAGCTGGGGTTACAGTGTGCACCCTGCCACTATTGGAAATACGATGGAGCCTGAGAATGAAGCCAACATGGAGGCAGTCAATGGTGAAAGACCAAGTCCTGAAGCCATCAGAAGCCCTTTGGCCTCACAGGCTGGAAGATCCTCTGTGCTTATAATGTCACTTTGACTGCCAACTTGACTGGGTTGGGAACACCTAGGAAATCAGTGAAGCACACTTCTTGGCGTGCATGTGGAGGTGTTTCCAGAGATGACTGGTGTGTGGAACACCAAACTGATGATGGAGGCCCACCTAAATATAGCTGGGGGCCAGGATGGAACAGAAGAGGAAGGAAGAGGAAGCCCACGCCACAGGCTCCCTCATTTTCTGCTTCTTGGCCACCATGAAATGAGCAGTTTTCCTCCACCAATCCTCTGCCAACACGTTTCTGCCTGACTCCAGGCATGGAAGCAGTAAAGTCATCCAAATGGACTGAAACCTCTGAGACCATGAACCAAAGTAAACCTTTCCTACTTTTAGCTGTTTTCCTCAGGTATTTTGTCACAGCAATGGAAAACTGACACAATGGCTGAGCTTTCTACCCATGAGAATCAGTTTTGCTTAAACCAATTTGAACTGGATTTTTTTCTTGCAAGTCTGAGAGACTGGAGTCACACAGAGGGCTTCTCCCCACTTATTGACCCTGAATCTCTCTGTGGTTGGTGGGAGGTGGCAAGGAATCAGTTCTTATCCCACTCACAAACCCCCCCAGGGACTGGAGGACTCTCCAGGGTAGCGGCCGTGCCCTGCACCCTGGCTCTGGGGGGATTTGTCCTACCTGGGCTCATTCTCTTCTCTCTGCCTATGGGCTTTCCCTTGTGAACTCACAGATGACATTCCCCACACTTGACACCCACATCTCCAGCTGGCTCTTGGGGCCCTGGGAGCTCCTCTCCCTCCCCTGGCACCCAGCTTCTTGGCTCTTTCTGCTTCTTGTTCATTCCCCTGGTTCAGGGCATTGGCATTGCTCTGAGGCCCAGCCTGTCTGAGTCTATCTCACTGCTCCCTCCTTCACTCAGCTGTGACTGCCCTGTGAATGCCACCTGAGTTTCTCCTGGTACCTCCCTCCTGTCTGCATTCTCTGCCCCTGGTGCCTGGACCAAGCCTACTCCTTTACCCAACCCATTTCTCTCATATAGTGGCGACCACTGGCAAACCCCACCCGAGAAGCCCACCTGAGGGGGCTGGGCCGGGACCCACCAGAACCTCTCCAAATACTCCAGACTCCCCATGCCGGAGTTCTTGTCAAAGCTTTGTTATCTCCAGCTCTGCTTTTGATTCTCTTGGGCCCCTAGAGGCTTCGTGGGGTTAAGTAGTACACAAGCCTGGACTCTCACATAAGTGAAAAGTCACCTAGCTCCTAGGAGCCACGGTGGTCCTGGGCCCATCTTCTAGCCTGAGCCCTACCCTAACTGTGCCTGAGTCTGTCACCTCAGATTGTGAGCTCCTAGGAGCAGGGATACCTGTGTCCACCCATGTGGATAGCATGGAGCAAGGGCCCCGGAACAGCAATAGGAATCAGCGAACATGCATGTGATAAATGATGGGGGTGTTCTGGCTTTTCCAAGCTCTGCACCTCTCCTTCCTCTTGTGTGCAGGAAAGAGGAAGCAGAGATGTAGAGATCAGTGGGCAAGGAAGGGAAAGA